AAACACAATTCTTCAAAAGGCATGTGTTTTCTACATACATTGCAAACAAAGCCGTCATGTTGCGAGACACCCTGAAACGCAAATCACTGCAACATAAATGCATAGTTGTTCAGCCTTGGTGAGGAAGCAACCCCCTTCAAACGCAGCATGCAACAATGGTTCGCCATTGTTGATATTCTAACTTGGATGTTCTAAACAAAAATACCCAGACAAATGTCGCACGCTTAAATATGTTCTAACCCGGGTTCAGTTAGAACATGGATTCACCAAATGATGTTCTAACTTGAAGTCTGTCAATATAATGTATTCAATGTATTTAATGCATGTATGTATATTTTCATTTGTCTGGTATGGATTCACGGGGCCACTTTTGAAGTGCCCGCTGAAGAGAACAGACATGCGAGCCCGCCTTGTTCTTATTTGTTCCGAGCCAAAGTGATGGAATTGGGGATCTCAGATGTGGGTTTCTTGGGCATGGCTGCTGATCTCTGCATTGGTTTGCTTGCTCCTAGGAAGGACTCGTCCATGGTCATCCGATGGAAGGGGCTCTTCAATTGATTAGGCTGCTGCTCAGGTGTTGACATGCAGGCAAACAACACCTGTCCGATTCGCTGACGTCGTCTGATCGGGGACTGTATTACTTGTTCAGTGTTGCGATGTTGGGACTCATAATCATATCTGTGCATAGTTGTAAACGGACATGACTCTGTGTATATGCAGAGTATATACAGATATATATAAATTAACACACATATATGCATGTATCTTCACGAGTGGGTGCATAAAAATCATCGAGTTGTGCTGCCCCAAAATTCAAGTTCTCGACGGGGCTTGCGAATTATTGGGCTGAATCAAATTCATCGTGAGCCATATTTTTTGTTGCTTCTCTGCGGCGCCCGTCTTTGCCTGTCCATTTCTGGTGTGTGTGTGTGTGTGTCGCAGCATACCCTCTCAGCCAGTCACACAGAACCGGCCACTAGGTTTATTATTCAAGATTGAAAGGGATTTTTGGCAGTTAGAAGTTGGAGAGCAAGTCCTCTCTGACTGCCTGTGTTTCCAAAGAAGAAGTAACGCAGTCGTAGATTCAGGGTGCGAACTCATCTACTTCAAGGGGCAATTGAGCTTCTTGCGGAGTCATGCAAGCAGCGGGGACTTTTGCTGAAATATGATATTTCAGGCTTTTCTCGGATAATGTAGCTGAGGAAGCAATGAAACCAGGGTTTTCAAATCGAAACAGGGGCTTGTTAACTGCCTGGGATCTTGCTGGAGATTGCAATGCTATGAGGGCCCTTGGATACTGGCTATCGCTGCTGGAATTCTGGCTTGCTGTAAAGGTCACCAAGAAATGAATGTCCCATGCATGAGCAGACAAGATTTGTTTCAATCCTCCAGTTGCTGGCCAAAGATTCAGTCGGTTAGTCTGGTTGCTGTACCCGCTACAAGCTCCTGCAAGAACGTCCTTGTTCTCCTTCGCCACCGAGCCATTTTGATCCGTTCCACTGGAAGCTTCAATGCAGACCTTCCCACCAATGTAACATGATCCCCTCCTCCCAAGTAGCGTATGGAAGGGGTGAATAACATTATGCCATGTTTTCCAAGTTTAGGACCACAGATGATCGGCTCACACGGGAACACGAAAAGGCCTCCAGGCAGCGATGATTTGCTTGTTTTTCTCCATGTGCGCAGCGCATGTCACAAGTCGGGCTGTTTTACCAATACAAAGATGCCCAGCAAAGTGACGTCGCATTTGGCATCGCAGACGCGATATTTCACGCCTCGTCAGCATGTTGACGCTTGGCATTTCGAGCCCGTGAAGCTCCACGAGCGGTTGCCCATTGAGCATAGGCGTCGACACGCGAGCCTTCCATAGGTTCTTTGCTCTCCCATCAGGTCGGACACCAACAAATACATGCTCCGCTAAGCAGCAAGGTTTCCCATGTTTCCCTTAGATTCCCGATCTGTGGAGGAGTACTTTTATCGCAACTCAGAAGGCCGTGTTTGCGCGTTTCATGGATCCATGTTGGGCCTGTTTTGTAAATCGTGGCGCAGATCGGTTATCTCAGATACATGCCCATGCCTGCTTCCACCTTAATGGGTGTTTCTCAAAATATCTAGGGGTCACCGTTTTATGGTTCCCTTTGGGTCTCCCTGGACTCTCAAACTACCTTGAAACATGGGTTATTGTCCCACAGCGATGGGGCGAGTCCCCTTTTTTATGGGTAGTTGGAGGGTCCAGGTCCATATCTAGGTCCCCCCAGTAGTGCCCTTTTACCCTTTTTGGGGGGAGAGTGCAGAAAAAAGTGTACCCTCATTCTAACCTCTCTGGAGGACCTAGTTGTGGTGGGATCCCCAAAACAGGTGCATGCCCGAAACAGGTCGTTTTGTATTTAGTTGTCCCCCAAACAGCTTGGTTGGTTCGCATTTCGTATCCGACTCAACAAGACCTTTTTGTTGAGAAACTCTTCCATTCGCCTAGGAGGTGGAGCTCAGCGAATTGCAG